CCTGCCTCACAAGTGCAAGGTCCTGAGTTTGATCCCCTGGAAAAAAAAAAAAAAAAAGACTAAACAAAAATACAAATTAAAATTACTCAGTCACACTTCAAGGCTCAGTAGCCACGTGTGGCTACCATAGTGAATAGCACAGAGACAGAACATTTTCAGCACCGCAGACTGGACACTGGCCATTGAATCCAGACCCTTGCTACTCAAAGCCTGGTCCTTGGACCAGCCCACAGCGATCACCTAGGGGTATGGTAGAAATGTACAATTTCCAGCCTGGACCAGGCCTACAGAATCAGAATCTGCATTTTTAACAGAACCTGCAAGACATTTCCATGTACCTCAGAGTTGAAAAAGGCTGCTCGAGAGCAGAAATTGAGACATAGAAACTCAGTTGCCTCCAAGGGCCAGCAAGTATCCTAAATAAGAACAGCTGGCCAGATGAGGCCAGCCACTATCTCGAGAGAGTGACCACTCTGGCAGCAATGCAGACTTGTGTCCTCAGCACTTCTGACTTTCAAACAAAAGCCCAAATAGAGTTTCATATACCATATACTTATTTTTAAGTGTTAGAACTTCTTAAATATTACGAAGTCTTTCTGACCACCTACCTGCCACTGGCCCCTCTATAGGCTGAATGGAGCCTTAGAGCCAGCAGAAAGCAACGTGAGGGTACCACAACTTGCTAATCCAAGACTCCTTTGTCCCCCCATCTCCCCTGGCCTTGGTTAGTGCTTGCTCAGGGCAATCACTCAAGTTTAGAATGAACCCAAGGGAAATTTAAAGAAGGAGGCAAATTGCTGCGGAAAGCACAGTCCCAAAGCCAAGAGGCAGTGGGTTTTTGATGACTTTTACATTGTTGATCACCAGGAAGAGAGAAATGCAGGAAAAGTCTTCAGTTCTCCTCTCCTGCCCTGCCCACCCCATGTCCTTAATTAAGAGCCATCTGTTCCCTAAGAAACTCGAGGAGGCTATTTTGAAACCTGAATTCTCCCTGCATCTGAGCCCCAGCTCTGGGTCAGCTTCCTTGGGGAATTCGCCTCCCACCAAATTCCTCTCCTTAGTAGGTGCTACCGGAGCCCAGCTCCCATGTGGAAGCGAGACCCAGCCTGCTAGCAGGTGCCCTATGCTCAGACGCTGGTATTTGGAGACAGGTTCCCTCCCACCCACCCACCTTCAAGGTCATGTTTCTTGTGCTCCAACCCTGCAGGTTCCTGTACGGGCAAAGCAAGCCGAACTTTCCAGAAGTCTGACAGCTTCTTGCTTCCTCCCCCTTGTTGGTGGAAAGTTGAAAATAGAGTCAGTTTCCATGGTGATGGCAGCTCAGGCTAAGCAGAGAAATTAAATGTCTGGGTCAGTCCAAAGCTTTAACTTCCCAGTCACCCCACCCCCGCCCCCACAATAAAAAGCAACTGACAAGAACCAATATCAGGCATGGTATCTGAATTTGAGCCTCTCACCATTGTCCCTCGCCATGTTCGCTCTGAGCAATAGAAACACCAGAGGGGAGAGAGGCTTGGTGACAGGACTCGGATCGGGGAGTATTTATGTGGCCCCACTATGTGCCCAGCTTCCTGTGTGTGGCTTTGGGGTGTTATATCAAGGGCCAGGGCAGAAGAGCAGAGTCTCTCTTTCAGGGATCCATGATTGTTTAGAACAAACGATGTTCCAATGTGCAACAGGTTGAGAAACCCCATAAGTAACAAAAGATGATCCCAACACAAAGGGTAGAAGGGCAGAGACAGGTGGCCATCATGACCCAGATCATTAACTATAGGCCCTGAGAGATCAGGAACCTCTTGGATTTTAAATGAGGTTCAGTTCTGGAATGAATGCCAATATGAAACAACAATGGTACTGAAACAAAACAAAATAAAACCCTAATAGCTTTTGGTTTTTTGCTGTAATTTTTATTGACAAAAGTCATATATTGACAGAATAAAATGTTTAGAAACCAGAGAGCACACCCAGAACCCCCCATGGCAGTGCAGTCACAGTCACTTTTAGTGTCAAGTGCAGGTCCTCAAAGTGGGGCCTGAGCTCTGTACTCCTGGCATGGTTAAAACCAAAATGATACTTAAACTCTCAAATGTCTGTTTTTACCCCTACGGACCCAGCAAGGTTAGTCCGGACAGAGTCAGTCCCCTGTGACATCAACAACCCTGTACGGAAGCCACCCCGGTATTCGGACCTGCACATCAGCCAGACACTTCCTAAAACCAACAAAATCAACAAGGTGAGACTGAGCTCTGCTGAGTCTGGGCATGGGGGGCTCAGCATGGCCTCGTGTTGGGCAAGAGGGAGGAAGGGATGGATCCAGAAGCGTGGTTTATTTTGTGTAAACCAGGGATGGGGCATCAGCGGAGAGGTACACGTGCCAGGGATCTTTCAGATTTAAAGCGAGGGCACATGGAAATGAAAATGAATGAGTGTGTGGAGGAGGAAGCATTAGAAATGGGTGGAGATGCCAAAAGGGAGTTTCCTTGGTGGTCCAGATCCTGCCAGTTCTGCTCTTCGAGATGTTTCCCCATCTGCTGATCAGCTATGCAGATGGTTCTCAGCTTTCTGAACATCTGTTGATCTAAGGGTTGGGGGATCTGTTTTTCAGCTTCTGCTGGAGACTGGATAGATGGATATCTTTGAGGGCCCTCATCTATGAGCAATAGCCAGTTTGGTTGGTCTTTCTTTGGGCCGATGGCCAACAGCAGGCTCTGGTGCATCCTTCTTTCCCGCATGATTTCTACATCTTTTGTTTGGTCTGTTGATGGGGCTACAGCAAACTATCCCACACGAGACCCACGCGAGAAGGCAAAGATTGTGCATTGAGGTCTTTGTGCACTGTGTTGAAGGTGGATAAAGTATGATCAACTGGAAATGGGGAAGGTTGCCAATCTGTGTGCAGGTCCCTGAGGGTCATCATGACAACTGCTGACCTCTCCTTGGCTTCTCCGTATAGGCTAGAATGGGATTGCCCCCTCCTCAATCCATTCTCCACATGCAGCCAGAGTGAGTCTTAATGAACATAATTGGAATCTTATCACTCCTCTGCTTAAAATCCATCCAGCAGCTTTCTCTTGCTTTCAGAAAACAAATCAGATCCTTTACAGCAGTCCACAAGGCCATGCATAATTTGGTCCCTCCTTCCATCTCTGACCTCCCCTTCCAACCTCATGCCAAAGCCCATATGTTCTTTTACTCTTGTTCTCTATCACAACAGTTGTGGCCACTTGATCTCAGAGCCATTCACCATCTGGCTTCTTGCAGCAACATCCCAGCAGTCGGGAGAGCCTGGCCTCAGAAGTAAAGAAAACCAGCCTTGGCTTCCTCTACTTACTGGCTGTGAAACTTCCAATGAGTAATATAAACTCTCTGAAAGCCAGTTTTCCCATATGTGAAATGGGGCCGTTACAGTTATCTGCTGCGGCACAGCCAGCTACCCCGAACTTAGCAGTGTCCAACCACTCCAGTCCTTTGCTCACAGAATTGTGTGTTAGGAATTGGGACAGAGCACAGGAGGGATGGATTGTTTTGGCTCTATGATGTCCAGGAATCAACTGAGAAAACTCACACAGCCAGCAGCCACACGTTTGTGTGTTTTGTTTCATTGTTTGTTTTTTGGAGGGCAGGGGTTGCTATACTGGGGTTGGAACCCAGGACATCAGGCATGGTGGGAAAGTGCTCTACCACTGAGCTACACCCCTAGCCTTAGAGTCATCTAGAACAGGGATTGGCACATCATAGTCCCCATGCCAAGTTCAGCCCACCACCTGTTTTAGTGAATAAAAGTTTAATAAAAGCCACCCCCCTATTGTGTGCTGCTTTTGTTCAACGACAGCAGCAAAGTTGAGTGGTCACAACAGGGATTATGCAGTCTGCAAGGCCTAAAATGTTTGCCATCAGGTTGTTTACAGGAAAAGTTTGCTGACCCCCCATCTGAAGGCTTTGTTGCTCCTATGCCTGGTGCCTGGACTGGGTGAGTCAAAGGCTGGGCTGTCAGAAACGTCAGCCACCAAACTTGCACGGGACTTGCCTGGTGGCCCAGGTTTGCTCAGACTACAGCTACTTCTGGGCTTGTATGGCAGCTCATGGCTCAAAGAACAATCAAGTTAGCAAAGGAGGTGAGACCACTTCTGGAGTCCCTTAATGATAGAAGTAGTTATAAGTCTGCTCAAGTTCAAGGGGAGGAGACAGAGACCCCAAGTCTGAATGGAAAGAGCCCAAGAGGCTAAGGATTTGGACCCACATTCTGTGGCATCCCAGGAGAGCAATAAGAGTGTCAACCTCAGACTTGTAAATGTGAAATTAAAGAGTCTACATTTAAAAACACTTAGTACAATTGCTAGCACCTAGTAAATGTCCAGGAAATTCTAGCTAGTGTGCTTAGCTTAAGCCTTGGAGCCTTCAATCAAAATGTCAAGCTGGGTTCCCTTTCCCTTTACTATTTACAAAAGATACAGGTCTCAGGGCTGGAGATGTAGCTCAACGATAGAATGCTCAGCTAGCACATGTGAGGCCCTGGGTTCCATCCTCAGCACTGCAAATGAAGAAATAAAACAAAAAAGTTAAAGATATAGGTCACTGAAAGAGGGGCTCCCTACCTCTGGGAGGGCTGAGGGTGCTCACCTAATGAGCTTCCTGGGAAGTGACTCTGTGTCCCTCATGAGCCATCTTTTCCTTTGACATCTTGAGGGGCGAGGAGCTTGGTGGAGCTACTTTGAGTCCTTTGCCTCTAGCTTTTCAGACACTGGAGCCCCTCCATGTCAGATGGAACAGAAACACAGTTCGAATGGATCAGTGACCATGCCATTGTTCTGCTTGTCTCCCTGCAGGAGAATTTGAGAAGAGAAAGAAATTAACCTCTATTTAGAAAGCAGCTTTTGACATGAAGGTGGACAGGATCTATCATCGGGCTGGGTTATTTTTTCCTTCTTTCTCTTCTCGCTGGCTTCATGCAGATTCTTTCTGTCAGGCAATGATGTGGTTAGTGCAATAGATTTCTGAGCCACTTTGGCCTGATGATTTCCTTTTCATTGCTCTTTATCTGTTTTCCTGTCTGACTCCACACATTTGTGTTCACAGAGGCCTTGCTTTTCTATCTAGCACAGTGGCTGGAATGTAGATGTTTGGAGTCAGAAAGCCTGGATTTGCCACTCAGCTCCTTAGCTTGCTATGTGAATATAGGCAAACCATTTCATGCCCTGTATGCCTTAGTTTTCCCTTCTGGGCTGTGTAATAGGAGTACTGTTGGTTGTGGATAGGACTGAATGTATGATATGTATGAGGAATTTAGTCCAACACTGGGTATTCAGCACATGCAAGTAGCTTGATGATAAAGAAAAAGAAGAAGGAAGATGAACAGAAACAAAAGAAGGAATAGGAGGAACAAAGAGGAGAAAACAGGAAATGGAAGAAGAGAGAGAAAGAAATAGAATTAGAAGAGAAAAAAGAGGAGAAGGAAGAATGGGGGAAGAAAGAGGAGGAAGAAGAAAGGGGAGAAAAAGAAAGAGGAGGGGGTGGAGGAGGTGAGGAGAGAAGAAATGGAGGAGATAGATGGTGAAAGAGAGGGAAGGATGGAGAATAAAAGAGGTAAAGAGAGAATGGAGGAGAGAGAGGGAGGTAGAGAAGCAGCAGCAGTAGCATCTTTTGTCTGTCTCCCAGGGGACCCATCTACAACCCTTGACCCTCTACATCTCAGACATCGAAAATGCCATCCTCTGAGGCAGCCGAGGCTGAAGTCCTGCCTGCTGTGGTCAGGATGTTTGAAGCAGCTGCATGCTGGATGGCTGATGCCAGGTGGCTGTGGGGAACAGAGACCCACCTCAGCAGCTCAGCAAGACAAGTTGTCTATGATAAGGATAGACATGGGGCAGTTAGGGAAAGGGAGATCACCTTCTAGGAGCTGGGCCTCCTGACACTAGCCATGGAGGATGGCCTTGAGCCAGCAGGCTCCTTGACCCCTAGTAAGATGATGGACCATTGTTCTGGTCCCATCGTGAAAGTGATTCAGACACTCTTTGGGGTTCTGTCCTGCTCTGTCACTGTTGCCTGGGTTCCTCCTCTGTACTCCCATATTTTCTCTGTGTCCTTGCTTCCACCTCCATCGAGTTCCCACTCCTTATGACTTTTACCTGATATGTATTTTGCTGGGTCATGGAGCCTTCGTTCTCCTTCAGCCGCATCTCTACTCAGTCTTTGCTCCTAATGCTTATACCAGTTATTGGCACTGCTCACCATTTCATCCCGTATCATACGATACTGACCAGGTGCCACAACAGTCCTGTGTTGGGAAAGGCTATTAGGCCAGAGAGCAAGGACAGTTTCCTTAGGAAATGTCCAGAGAAAGCAGTTCTCAACACCATCATGTCCAAATCAGTGTTCCATAGGGTACAGTGGGAACCTGGAGATGAACAGATGTCTGTTTGAGTCCCACAGTCAGATGTGAGTTTCTTATTCTTTGGCACAAGCTTGGATTTCTGCCCTGAACTGGGTGTTGGGACTCGGGCCAATAACTCCAGCAAACCATTCTACACCTCAGCATCCCCACCCATGAAATAAAGATAATGACTTCGGCGGTCTCTAAGGTATGTTTCCATCTCTTATATCTGTTCAGAAATAGCGATCATGCCGTCAGCCCCTCCCAGAATGAGCTTGTAGAGTTCAAGTTTACTTCGGATGGGACATAACCTCCAGCTGCAGGTCCCACTGGGACACAGACATGGTCTGACCTGCAGAAGGAACTTCCCCTCCTATTGCAACAATTCTTCTGGGGAAGTGAGCACCATGCATATTAAAGAGTCTGTTCATTCCTATCACCCCTGAGTTATAGACATGGTGAAGACCCAATTCCTGTCTTCAAGAGATCGAGCCAATCCCTTCCTCAGTAAAGATGATGGATTCACTTATTCATTCATTTATTCACATTTATTAACCTTCACTACGTTTGTGTTTCTATGCTGAGTTCTGCAGATTCCGAGATGAGTGACACAGTCCAGTGAGAGGAGTTAGGTCTTCTTCCTTCCTCCTTTCCTCCATACCTTCAAACTTTCTTTCCTTCATTTCATTCTTGTTTCCTTCATCCAACACACATTTAATTAAGGGCCCACAGGGTGCCTGGAACTCTGCTAAGTGCTGAGAATTCAGAGATGACTATAACATAGTCCTTGTCCTCAGGAGCTCCTATCCCAGAGGATGAGACAGATAAGCTGAGAGGTGGCCACGTAGAACCAGCAATGGGACTGGGGCATCGTGCACAGCTGCCACCACCAGAGGTGGAGTGGGGAAAGTCAGGCCAGCCTCTCAGGAGATGTGAGATCTGAGCTGCATTTTAGAGAAAGAAGAAGCAGAGTAAGACAGGGCTAACAGATACTCCAAGTAGAGATGACAGTGCGTCCTGAGCCTGGAAGATGTGGAAGGACCTGGTTTTTGCTAGGAACCAAGGGCCATTTAACATGACTTCAGTAGACCTTTCAAGGAAGTGGGGGGGATGATGAAGGAGGAGCAGGTGATATCAGCCCAGATCCAACCTAAATCATGGACAACATTTTAAACATGCGCTATCACTTGAGCAAGGTCTATACATCACCCTCTACTCATGGGACGATAATTTTTAGCACAAGCCTTATGGCTCTGTAACTTAATAATGATCATTTGTACAGAGCATATGTGGAAATTTCTTGAAATCTGCTAGTCTGTGAGTGGGAGTTCAAAGGGCAGAGGCTTAAGAGGGCACCCAGGTGACCCATTCTCATGTCCCCTATCCCCTTGGATGACCCTACCAGCCTCTAACTTCCTTGAAAAACCTCTGGTGTCCCACCAGGCTGGGTGAGAGCATCTCGCTATGTCATAGCCCAACCACATAAACCTTAGCTCCACAGGTTACTGACAGGTATGTTATTCCACTAACATATCTGTTGTTATGGAAATGTAATCTCCTTCAGACAAATTAGGGTAGAGAGAAGGCTGGCTTCCCAATCCCCTTGTACTGAATTGGGTGAGTGTTACCTTCAAGATGGCCTTGCCTGGCAAGTGGCTGAGATGAACCACAGCAGAGCCTTATCTGAAACAGTAAAACTATGGCCTTGTGCTCAGGTGTCCCCTGCCTTCTACTGGGACTCAAATTTATCCCTTCCACACTGGGCCAGAGCTCCACTGGGAAGACCCAGGATTCAAAGGAAAATTCCATAGCCTGGAAGCCCGGTTATACAGGGGATATATGTGTGTTTCTCTCTAATCAAACACAGCCAAGCCTGCATTTCCAGAGTCCTAATATCTCCCTGCAGGGCTGACACTCAACTTGTAGGATCAAATGAACTAATTAAAAAGAAATTAAAAAGACTTACTGCTTCCAGAAAGTTGGAATAGATGTATTTTTCTCTTTCTTTTTTTTTTTTTGGTACCGGGGATCAAACTCGGGTCCTTGCGCTTGCATAGCAGGCGACGAAACCACTGAGCTAAATCCCCAGCCCAATCTAATATGACTTTTATCCTTATAAGAAGACAGACAGACACAGTGAGAGCCCATGTGACAACAAAGGCAGAGACTGGATTGATGCAGCTGCATGCTAGGCAGTGCCAAGGATTGCTGGCCGACACCAGAAGCTAGGAAGAGTCAAAGAAAGATTCAACCACAAGTTTCAGGAATTAGCTATGCTAGTACCTTGATTTCAGACTTTTGGCCTCCAGAACTATGAAAAAAAAAATTCTGTTTTTAAAAGTCACTCAGTTGGTGGTATCGAAGCTAATATGCATACTGCATGAATGGACTGTAAGACTCCAGATAATTAAGAAGTCAACTCTCTTTATAATTGATAGATAGGTTTAACACAAATCCTATTTAATCCTAGTAAGATTAATACGAGATCATTCTAGCTGGGCACAGGTCCAGCTACTCAAGATGCTGAGGCAGGAGGATCACAAGTTTGAGCCACAGCTTGGGCAACTTAGCAACTTAGCGCGACCCAGTCTCAAAATGAAAAGGGATGAACATGTAGCTCGATGTGAAGTCCCTGGGTGGTTAATCCTCAATATCACCAATAAAAATGAAAATGAAAATCATTTAAAAAGTTATATGAAAAGACACAAGAATAAGAATAGCCCAAAACACTTTAGAAAAGAAATAAAGTGAAAGAAAGAATAAAGACTTGCCAATTTTAAGACTTATATAGCTATAGTAATCAAGACCCAAAAGAATATACAGATGGTTAGTAAGCACATGAAAAGATGTTTAGTATGATTAGACATTAGGGGAATGCAAAATAAAACCACACTGAGATACTACTCTACTTCTGTCAGAATGAAAAACAGGGACAAGTCCAACACTGGCCAGGATGCAGAGAAAAACCAATGACTGGCAGACACCTGGTATAAAATGGTCCAGCCACTCTGGAGAACAATTTTTGTATTTTCTTTAAAAATTAAATATGCTATTACCACATTATCCAAAAATTGCATTCCTGGGCATTTATCCCAGAGAATTAAAGACATATGTTCATATAAAATCTGTACATAAATGTTTAATAGTAACTTTATCCACAATAGCCAAAACCAGGAAGCGAGTCCGATGTCCTCTGGTGGGTAAGTAGTTGAACAAGCTGTGGTGTGGCACATCCACACTGTAGAATGCTGCTCCACAGTCACTGTCAGCAGAGGCACCTTCTGGAGACTCTGGAGAAAAACCTTTTGTCTTTCTCTCAGCTTCTGATGGCTCCTGCAATCCTTGAATCCCTCCCTTTGTTGCCAAGTGGTTTTTCTTTCTCTTATAAGGATCTTTGCCATTGGATTCAGGGCCCACCTAACCCAGGATGACCTCATCGTGAGATCTTTGCCTGAATTACATCTGCAAAGATTTCTATTCCAAACAAGATTGGATTCTGAACTTCTAGGGGACATGTCTCTGGGGAGGATGCCATGCTGCCCAGTACAGTGCTCTTAAGTCTACCTGCCCTGGCCATTCTGAAGATGCACACACACGGCTTCTGTCTTCATCTTTCCTCTGGAGCTGATCCAGGGCAAGGAGAGAGAGTGCAGATTTCAACTGAGATGTGGGCAAAGATGGTGAAGGCTCACTCTCATCCTGTCTGTATCTGTCAGGCTGTTGATTCTTTAATAAACACTCAGGAGGAGTGGCGTCAGGTGCACTCTGAGCACCGTGGCAAAGGGCTTTCCAGAATCAAAGAGACATAAGGCAGGTGGCTGCCAACTCTGTGGTTTCCATTATGTGGTAACCTTTCACTCTGCGGTCCCAGCAGTGACCGGGAATCTGTTCCTTCCACAGCTGGATGCACCCTGGGACTGTGGAGAGGGCTGCTGAAGCAGGTGGACTCTGGAAGGATCTGAGGTTTGCAGAATGGGCAAGAGTTGCCCGGGAAGCTGGTGTGGGGCCCCTCCCTGCTCAGCTCACTCTGCTCTGTCACTGCTTCTCTGCCTGTCCTTGACCCCTGCTTTCTTTTCTTTCTGCAGGACCACATCCCTGTCCCTTACCAGCCAGACTCCAGCAGCAACCCCTCCTCCACGACATCCTCCACGCCCTCCTCACCAGCACCCCCGCTCCCACCCAGTGCCACGCCGCCTTCTCCCCTCCACCCTTCTCCCCAGTGCACCAGGCAGCAGAAGAACTTCAACCTGCCAGGTACCCTGGCTTGGGGAGGCGGAGGGTGGAGCAAAGGATGGGGAGGGGGTGGAGTCTGTGCCAAAGCTGTAATGGGGCCAGTCCTTGCTGGAAGGCAGTGGGTTTTCGATCAGAGAGGATCAAGGAGGTCCATGGATGGGCCTTACTGTAACGCAGTCACTGGTGAACCATGAGGCTGTGCAATCAGATTCTCATTTTTGGCTCCCTGTGTAAGGCACCAGAGGCTGTGCATAGGAGAGTTTCTCCAAAATGAGCAAAGTGCATTTATGAAATAGACTTGCCCAGCCTGGGCAGGGTATCTCCACATTGTATCCAGCTAGATAACATCACCCCTGGGAATGCTGGTCGAGGGCTGGTTTTCTCCTGAGTCAATGAGGGACATATGGGGCAAAAACATCCCTGATTCTCAGCCACAGGTCTTACCTCCAAGCTGAGCCACCTGTGAGTGAATGGTTTGGAGGTGAATGGAGCCTCCATTCTGTACCTGAGTAGTCCTCAGATACAATCCCCCAGCAGGGGACAATCTGATCATGTCACCTGGCCACATTGTCTGGATTTGGGTTGTGTCCTTAGAGTTGGGATGTTTTGTGAATTCTTGCAACTTCGGGATTTGTTGTTATTGTTGTTAGGATCAAGTCTGAAGCAGCCTTGTATCTGGCTGGTATGAGGGTCATTCACCCAGCAGCCAGTAGAGACCACAGTGTGAGTCACCAGCTGAATCACCTCGGTATCTGCCACCGAGTCGGTTAGACAGGTGGCCTGGCATTTCCACTGACAGGACACTCCCATTGCCATCTCTAGCACTGTCCACTTCCATGGCTCTGGAAGGGGGTAAATGAACAAAAGACCCTTTGACACCCCAAAGGGTGGTGGGCCTGGATGCTTTCTTCCAGCCATTCCCTTGAGACACGGATGACAGTGTATTTTCCCTGAAATTATTTGTAATGTTTTTATAAACCAAGGAGAAGAAAGAGCCATTTTAAGGGAAAACTGTCCACAAAAGCACCATAGCTCTTCTTGTCCCTATAAGAATTTGCTGGCATCTTCAGAAAAGAGAACTGACTAACCAGGAGGTAATTCCCTTAGCTCCTTCATTCCCTGGGCCAAGGGGAGATCCTTGCCATTTTGCTGTGCTAGCCTGCCGGTGAATCCCAGTCTGTTCCATGACAGGTCACATTAGGGCCCTGGCTCTCATTGGGAGCTGCACTAAGGGGTCCTTAGGGGAAAGGTACTTTAACACAGCAGTCAATAGTGTGGGCTCCGGAGCCAGGCTGCTTGGACTCAAATTCCAGCCCTACCATTTAGAACCTGCATGATGTTATATGAAAGACTAAACATCGGGAGCTTAGCAGAGTGATGGTCTCATTAAAGATCTCAACAAATGCAACTTGCCTTATTATTAGATAAACCCAATAATACATAACAAATTACTGTGGGTGCCATGTTTGCATTTCTCATCATTGCTGCTAAGTAAGAAAAGCCTAGACAGAACTGTGGACAACAAGAGGAAATCCCCCTGAACTTTGGCATTGGAAGTGTGAACCAAATTAAACTTGGAAAAGGTAATTTGGTACCAAATTGTTGACACCAACAACATCACTTCTAGGAATTTATATGTAGTAATACTTTCACCACGGCACAGGGATCTGAGTGTAAGCACTTCATTGCAACAGTGAAAACTTGAAATCAACTCAAGTGCCCTGCAAGAGGGGATTGGCTGAGTGCACTAATGTGGCTGTGTAACCCTGTGTTCTGCAAGCATTGAAAGAACACGGTGCTCGTGTAGATTTCCTGACATGAAAGGAAATCCATAATGTGTTTTAAGCGGAAAAACAGGTGATTTGAAGATCAATTGGTATAATAACATTCTATCTATTTTAAAATATACTGTATGTGTTTATAAGTGTGTGTACACATATGTGTATACCCATGAAAAGTCTGTAAGAAATCCACAGGAGCTCTTCTGAGAAGGTGGCTTTTATCATATGCCTTTCTATAATGTAAATAACAAAGAGCAGGCATTAGTTTTAGAACTGAGTAATAATAATAATACAGTACAACGTCGAAACAGAAAACAAGATAGGATCTTCCTCTGTCTTAGGCAGTTTGGGCAAAATTCCCTTAGGGTGACAAGTACCTGGTTTGCTGTCACAGACTTGATTCTGAGCCTGTGCTGGTGGGAAATAGAGCTTTGGATATGGTTCTCTGCCAGATGTTGCATTTTCTAAATGCTGTTTAGACTGAAGTCTAGACATAACAATGTCCCTAACAATGATTCATCAGGAATATTCTTGTCCAGAAGGGATTGGGAGGTAAACAACCATTTGCCTCACCTGGTAACCTCAGGAACGAGCTGTTTGTTAGAAAATCAGGTGTGACATTGCAGGCCTGGTAGAGTTTTGATCGTGCCCAACCTGTTGGGTTAACCTCCTTCTTCTCTTCCCTTCCCCAAGCCCCTGGGTCCATGTGGACATGGCCCAGTGTAAGGTGGAGTCGAGCATGCTGTGTGGACAGACACACCTCCAGCTTTGTCCTTTTCTAAGGCCTTGAGCAGGCACTGAATCTGTTTAGGCCTCAGTTTCTCATCTGTAAAATGGGACTAATAATTCAGAGCTGTTGTGGCATGCATCATGGCAAGATGCTTGAAGAGATTTGTAGAGGATTGTTTTGGGGGCTTCTGAGACCAGAGTATTTGTACCTTCTTTTTGGGGGCCATCAAGTGCCATCTTGATACACAAGTACACACACACACACACACACACACATACACACACAGCACTCTAGGAAATGACAAATTCTAGTGCCTCCAAGGGAGAAAACAGGAAGCAGAATCTGCCTTTGGTGGAGACAGCAGGATTTCCAAGACCTCACTTGGGCTGGGCCACTGGGGTTCAGGGAGTGCTTCCTCCCTCTCCTTCCCATCACTGTTCTGAGCCCCTTCTACATGCATCACTATGTGATCATGTTCACTTATTCACTTCACTTGCTTACTGTCTGTCTCCTCCATCTATATAACAGCTCCACAAGACCAGGCAGTGTCTGGTTCATTCATATCACATCACCTAACAGCAAAGGACTAATGAAATGTTTTTGAATGAATGGATGAATGAATAGCTTGAGTTCCATGTACTGTCCAAGGCTGCAGTTTTATTTCTTCACATTGCCATCTTAGCCCTTATACTATACTCATCCACTCTTTGCATTCATGGGTATTTATTGAGTATCTATTATGTACTAGAGACTGTACGAGGCACTAGTCATGGAGCAGTGAACTAACCAGACATGGCCCTGTACTGGTTTCCTATGACACTGTAAAGAAATGACCACAAACTTAATGACTTAAAATAACACAAATTTATTATCTTATGTTCTGGAAGTTAGAAGTCCAAAATAGTTTTCCCTGGGATAAAACTCAATGTGCCAACAGGGTTGACTGGTTAGGGAAGTTCTTGGGGAGAATCTGTGTCCATTTTTCCCAGTTCACAGGGGTTCCCCACATTCCTTTGTGTGTGGCCCCATTCCAACTCTGCCTCCATCATCACATTCTTGTGAGTCTCTCTCTCTTCCTGACTCCCACCTTCTGGTCTCCCTCATGAGGTCTTCGGTAATGACAATGGGCTCACACACGCGATCCCGGAAAACCTCCCAATTGCAAGATCCTTAACTTAATGACATTTGTAAAGGAGCTTTTGTTACATAGGATAATGTATGCAATTTCCAGGGGCCAAGACATAGCCGTCTTTGGGGCTGGGATGAGGAGTGTGATTCTGCCCACAGCGGTCCCCATTCTCAGGGGATTCATCACTCGGTGAGAGAGACAAGTGTGAATTGAGTGAATATATATGTGCAAGTAGGATTATAAAGTGTGGTAAGGTTTGCGAGCAGAAAGAGATTGGGATGGGCAAATTCAGGAAGGGACCATGTGCAGGTTGAAGGTCAGAGACGGCTGTGTTCTGAAAGTGAGGCGTAGGGCAGTGGCCCTCCTGCATGAAGGAGCTGAAGAATGTCCCCTGCAGCCCAGATGTCACAAACAAGGAGAAATGGCACCAAGCAAGGTTAGAAGGAGCAGATATTCAGATTTTACTTAAGACTCAATGAGATGCATTCAAAGGGGTGTGGAGGAGGATGGCTTGATCCTTCTTCCTTCTAGAAGACCACTCTGACTGCTCTTCTGGGTGGTTTGGGGTATGAGGGAGACTCAGGTAGGGAAGCTCCTCCAGTGTGGCCCACTTGTCCCTCCAGCCCCATCTGCAGCTCCCACACCCCAGCTCCTCCTGGATGGCAGAAAGCCAGGAGCCATTTGGCTCTCCTGAGCTGTTCTCTGGGCTCCCCGGCTGCTCCTTGGAGCCACTTCTGGCTGGCGGTTTGTTTGTTTTTTTCTGAAATCAAACACAAATACTTTTTTATTTATGGGATATCATTTTATACCAATTCCATTAAAAACTATAACCAGTATGCTGTACTTGTTAGGTGACATAACAGTATTTCAGTTAAGCTGGGAGTCACAGGACTTGCACACTTTCATGAATGTAATGCAAATACTGACGACATGAAGCATTCACAGTTATAGGTTAGCTGCTGTTCATTTAACAGTAACCCCCAATAAAAATTATTTTATGAAAAAAGAGCAACCCACATTTTGGTCTCATTTACAGATACCCAACATTTTAGTTGGTCAATGAATTCTATACATTTATTATACAACTTTATGAAAGAATAAAGGTTAAGGCTTACAGAAGTATCTTAGTAGTTGTAAGAATAAAAACTGAGGGCACAAACTAACTTTTAAAGCCTTCTGTATAAATTTCAAAAGCACTGTCAGAATGGGGACCGAGAGGCAACAGAAATCTGTTGTTAAACCAGAATCTAGAAGTCTGTTTTGTTAGATTCATGAAAACTTAATTCAAAGTTCATGCTTCAAAAAAAGGGCACGTAACATTACAGTGTTTATGGCAAATCAAACAATGAAATTTCTGACCTAAAAAGTAGTACTCCCTAAC